AAAAAAAAAAAAAAAAAAAAAAGCTTCAGGCCATCTACTATTTAGATACAAGATCTAGGATCTGGGTAGGCTCATTGCTACTTGGCTATCATCTCCAGATGATATTAGAAAACAAAACTAGGAAATATACATACACACATTTATGCTTATTTCTATGTCTATAAATCTATCTCTGTAATAAACTAAATATTTCTGACTCTAATTTTGTTCTTTCCAGCCTCCCCCACTTTCTCTGCAACTTCTTTTCCTCTAGTGCTAGCTCAATGACAGTTTTTACCATGAATCTGTATTGGATTTTGTCAGTTGCTTTTTTGGCAGCAAACGATATGATCACGTTTAATTTTCTTTATTAGCATATTGATATGGTTGATTACATCGATTGATTTTCAAATGTTGGCTTAGCCTTGCATGCCTGGAATAATTGCCACTTAGTCATTGTGTATAATTCTTTTATACACTGCTGGATTTGGTTTGGTAATGTTTTGCTGAGGATTTTTGTATCTATGTTCATGAGAAATGTTTGCTTGTAGCTTTCCTTAGTAGTAAAGCATTTATCTTATCTGGTGTTAGGATTTGGGTACTCTCTATGCTTTGGCTTTTTTTGGTCATTTTCTTAGTAAAATAAATTATTATAAATTATATTTACATTTTGCTGGATTTGGAAACCTGCTGATAAGTAAGTAGGCCAAGATGTGAGTAAGGAGGGGGAAAAAAGCATGTCAGCCTTTCCCATATTTAAGACATAAAATCTGTAATTTAAGATTCTTGACGTTTGGGGGCACCTGGGTGGTTTAGTGAGTTAAGCCTCTGCCTTCAGCTAAGGTCATGGTCTCAGGGTCCTGGGATCAAGGCCCACATCATCAGCCTCTTTGCTCAAGAGGGAACCTGCTCCACCCTTCTCCCTGCCCCCCTCCGCCCCCCGTCTCTGCCTGCCTTTCTGCCTACTTGTGATCTCACTCTCTCTGTCAAATGAATAAATTCTTAAAAATCTTTAAAAAAAAAAAGATTCTTGATGTTTGCAATGTTGTGTCAAGGAGTCTAGTCATGCCCATTTGGGAATTAAAAGTTGAAACAATACAACTCAGGACTTTGAGCAAAAGTGGTAGTGGCAGTCTGCTTTTCATGGTTAGACTCCCTCCGCTGTCACCACCCCTGCCTATCACATAGATGTGGGTGATAATTTGGGGGAGAGGCGATCTTGGGTGTACACAGCAGAAATCAACTCTGGCTAATTTAAGTGGAAAAGAAATTTATTAGAAGAATAAAGGAGTGCTCACAAAACCGAAGAGAAAATGGGATCATTTAGGCTAAAAAAATTGGTGTTAAACAAAGAAAGCCAGAAGGCAGGAACCATAGGCAAGACAAAATCCCTGGAACAGGTTTGTTAAGACAATACCTCTGGCATATCCACCATTTCTGACTTGGACACTATCACTGACTGCTCCCTCTACCGCAACCATTGGACCCTTGCTAATGTCATACGCCATAACACCTACTGCAAATAAATTCTAACTATCCTAACTTCTGTAAGAATTCATTGGATCCCTTTGGCTGAAATACATTCTTTTGCTGCTTGCTGAGCTGGGAGCGTGGTAAGCATAATAGTAATTACTGCTCTCAAATACAACACTTCCTAGTACATCGACCATGTTTTTTGTTCAGTCCCTGGGTTGTTCAGCTTAGTCTGGAAGTCAGGGGCCCAACCAAATATGCTACAGATGAATTCTTATTTCGCTGCTTTGTCAATTTAAGCAGCTTGTATTTGAATTCTTATTTTCTCACTTGCATTCTTACTTCTCAGTTTGCTAATTATAAACATATACCTCCCACACTAGGTTGGGTCTCTGGAATTGAGTCACGGTGACTCCTAAAGGCCCCTCGGGGATAAATTATTTCTTTTAGAGACAGTGGGCACTTTCAGAAACGAATGGAGGCTCTCTCACAAAAAAGTAAGACTTTGCAATTATTTTTTACAATGTTTGGCGAGAGTTTACTGTATACCAGATTTGTTTTAAAAGCATATAAATGTTAATTTATTTGTTTCTTGTAACAACGGTACGAAGCAGGCACTCTCATTGTCTTCATTTTACTAATGAGGGAACTGAAGTGCAGAGGGCTTATATAACCTGTAACCTTCTTCACATGAATTTTGGGAGGTCGTGTGGCTGTGGGATAACACAACTTCCACAATGCTCCAGCCTGGTGTTCATGACCTCTCTCATGATTCTATCTCACTGCCATTGGGAAAGTTAATGCTGAATCTCTTCTGAAGATATCTGTACTGTCAAGAAGAAATAATCCCAAGTTATGTAAATACATCAATGTTATGCCTTAACAAACTGAAATGGGTCTCTGATTGTTTCTTCCCAATGTAAATGGACTCAGAGGCTATGGTCTCTCTCTTAGGTAGCTATTCCACCGAGAATTTCATGTATGTATAAATCCCTCTGGTTCCCCATCATTAGCTTCTAACATCCCAACGTGACTCTATTTGACATCACTTTGGAGGGACCAGTCTGTATGTCAAAGGCTCTTTGGTGTTCTTTTTGTGAATCTTCATGTAAAAGGTTGTCCATTTTACTAAGTGACCTTATTTCACAGACTTAATACTCTGAGCCTGTTAAATGAGTAGGGATAAAAATCCCAAGCTATAATGTCGTCCATGGTGGGTAGGATGATTCTTTCTTGGAATGGTTCAGCACTTTACAGAGTCTATTCAGAAACTTTCTCCTGTTTTTCCTCATGGCAGCATCTCTGTGTGACAAGTTGGAGAATATTTTATAATACCCATTGAGTAATTACCTTTTCTTTGTATCTCCCCTCTCTAGAGAACCTCAAGCTTTGTGACCAGACATTAAGCAAGGAGATCAATGGGACACTTTCTTTCTTTTTGAGTGGCACTAGCAATTTGAAGATCATAAATGAAATTGTGTCACCTTCCTTGAAGGGCAAGGTAAATATATAGCTCAGTTCTCTGTTCTGTTTAGATTGTAGTATCAGAAGATGTGCTATGTGAAGTTACAAGGGCAACACCTTCCCATGGATTTTTCAGAGTTTAATATCCCAGGTTTTAATATTCTCATGCTTCCAAACTGCTCAGCTAGAGTTCAGATGTTACAGCAACCTTTATTGATTAGGAAAATGGTGATTTTTCTCAAATAATAGAGATAGTATTTTTCTCATCATTTAACATCCCTGCACTTAGGAGAGCACTTAGAAACTGGTGAGGACTCCGTCCACGTTTATTGAGGTAATGAGTGAACAGATAAATAAATGAATACATGAATGAATGAGTGAATCTCTGAATGATTTGTTTATTGAGCCTGTTAATGAAGCACATTCTGAAGTGTCTGGTCCTGTGCTATTAAAGCATAGTCTCGTGTATGACTTAGCACAGGCTTTGCAGAAGCTCTCTATCAAAGGTTGTAGACTTCTGTGAATAAGTAGCAGTAATGCCTGGCTACCCATTACTGCTTGTATTATTGTTTTTTTTCCAAGATCTGTTTATTTATTTTGAGAGAGTGAGAGAGAGCACAAGTGAGCAGCAGTAGGGAAGAGCAGAGGGAGAAGGAAAGAGAATCTCAAGCAGACTCCATGCTGAGCATGGAGCCTGGTACAGGGCTTGAGCTCATGATCCCAAGAGCATGACCCTGAGATCACAACCCTGAGATCATGACCTGAGCTGAAACCAAGAGTCTGACGCTCAACTGACTGAGCCACCCAGATGCTCTGCTAATATTATTATTGTTAGCATTAAAAAGACATGGCCTATGGGACAGATTTATCAACTACTTGAAAAGACAAAACTTTGGCATCTTCAATATCTACTCCTTGGTTCCCACCATCTTTCAGCTCCCGTATCTGCATCTCACCTCAGACTTTCTCTTCTTACCTTTTCCAGTGACCCACTGCAGGACTCAGTTCTTACCACACATGGCCTAAGTGATGGCATGGCTTAGAGCAGGTACACGAGAGTTGGTGACAAGGATATTAATTTGGGCTATAATTTGAAGGTAGAGATAACAAGATATACTCATGGACTACATGTGGAGTGTGAGGGAAAGAGAGCCAGGGCTGAATAATTCTGGCATTAAGGGATTCTTTGTGGAAGACTTCATTAGGGTTAACCAGATATGTAGCCTGGATTCTGAGAATTGTGGAGGCTATTTTATGATGAGATTATACAGTTGGCTGAAATAATTGGTATAACTTTCAACAGATTCCTTTTGCAGTAGTCAGGCCATGAATGATGGCATCTCAACATTTGTACCTATTATCATTCCTGATGCTCAACTCCCAATTTTTTGTTGTTAATATTTTTAAAAATAGTATGCTTGTTTAAACATATTTGAATTTAAGTTATGAGGTCATTCAACCACGTAAATTTCTTTAGTAGTATGGGTCCAATAATTGTGTTGGGTTTCTTTTGTTATTTTTTCCAACAACCTTATATATACTATTAATAATATTTAATAATAATAAAACATGATTTATTACATGCTATTAAGCAGTATTTTGGGTGATTCAAACATATCAACTCATTAAATTCTCCAAACAGCCTTGTGAAGTACTATTATTGTTACCTGTTTTAAACTGACACATAGAAAGACTGTGACTTGCCCAGAGTTACCAGCTTGCAAGTGGAAATGTCAGGATTTGAAGGCAGACAGGTCACCCAGAGACCATGATCTTCACTATAACAATATGCTGCCTTTGGAAATACCTGTGTTGTTTTCAAAGTGCCTTTTAAAATTTCTGTAAGAATCTTGTAATATTGTAAAAGTAGGAAACACAGTGCCCACTTAATTTTTTCATGCAAAGAAATTAAAGCTCAGGAACATTTATGTTGTTTTTCCAAGGTGATAAAATGAAGATCACAGAAAACTTCAACCCACATAAAAAAAAGCAATAGTCATTTTGAAGATAACTGAGTGGTAATTTGGAATATCTCAGTGGGGTCAGGAACTGACAAGTATGTATGTACCCTTACACATTGAAAGATGAAGGTCAGAAGATGCCAGTCTCTGGGTTACTGGGAACCCTGTACTGGTAATGGTGTCATGATGCACTCATGACATTTGGGTCATTTTCCATGCATAAGTAATTTATCCATTTTGCCTTCTGGTTTTGACAGGTGAAACATAGTTTCAAATAGTATCTAGAGAGAACAGCACCGAGGTGAATGAGTTTAGGCTCTTGGGACTGACTGACAGCCCAGGAATGCAAGTCCCTCTTTTCATAACATTCACTTTCATTTATCTTGCTACTCTCATTGGAAATCTTGGGATGATCACGTTGATTCTGTTGGACTCTCGCCTCCACACTCTCATGTATATTTTCCTCAGTAACCTCTCTCTGGTGGACTGTGCTTACTCCTCGGCTGTTACTCCCAAGGTGATGGCTGGGTTTCTCACAGGGGATAAAGTCATCTCCTATGGTGGATGTGTTGCGCAGATGTTCTTCTTTGTGGCTTTTGCCAGTGTAGACTGTTTCCTGTTAGCTGCCATGGCTTATGATCGGCATGCTGCGGTATGTAAACCCTTACATTATACCACTTCTATGACCACGAGCTTGTGTGCTCAAATGGCAGTAGGCTGCTATGCCTGGGGCTTTGTTGAATCTGCTATCCACACTGGATTCACCTTCTGCCTCTCCTTTTGCCATTCCAAAGTGGTCCATCATTTTTTCTGTGATATCCCCCCAATTCTGGCTCTCTCCTGCTCTGATATCTATATAAATGAGATTGTACTCTTTTTTTTTTTTTTTTTTTAAAGATTTTATTTATTTATTTGTCAGAGAGAGAGCGAGCACAGGCAGACAGAATGGCAGGCAGAGGCAGAGGGAGAAGCAGGCTCCCTGACGAGCAAGGAGCCCGATGTGGGACTCGATCCCAGGACACTGGGATCATGACCTGAGCCGAAGGCAGCTGCTCAACCAACTGAGCCACCCAGGCGTCCCAAGATTGTACTCTTTATATTAGCAGCTTTCAATGTCTGTTTTGCCCTTATAGTTATCTTGACCTCCTATCTGTTCATCTTCGTTGCCATCCTGAGGATGCGCTCAGCTGAGGGAAGGAAGAAAGCCTTCTCTGCCTGTGCCTCACACTTCACTGCTGTAACATCTTCTACGGGACTGTCATGTTCATGTACTTACAACCCAATTCTAGTCATTCTATGGACAATGATCAAATGGCATCTGTGTTCTATACAATAATAGTCCCCATGTTGAACCCCATTGTCTATAGTCTGAGGAATAAAGAGGCGAATAATGCTTTCAGGAAAACCGCTAAGAAACTGAAGATTCTGTTCAACCCATAGATCAATTAGAGACATTATAAAAGCTGTATAGTTAATCAGTTATCTATTGTTGTGTAGCAAAATATCACATTCCAAAAACAACAGTTTATTATTTCTCATAATTCTGTGGTTGGCGGGATTGTTCCTTTGCTGTTTTCATATAGGCTCACTCATGAGGTTGCATGTCTTCTGCATGGTCAGCTGGGCTGAAGGGTTCAAATTTCTAACTCACATTTCTATTCACATTTCTAACTGTTGAATTTGGTTGCTGCCCATCTCTTTTCCAGATGCTCTTCCATCCTCCAGAGGATGGACCAACTTTGTTACATGTTTTCAGTGTGAAAGTAAAACTGAATGGTTTCTTGAAGTCTAGACTCCTGACTCAAACATTTTCTCTACCACATTATACTAATCATTGGTGTCAAAGAGTTGGCCCCAATGTAAGCATGAAGAAAGGCTCCACCTCTTGAGGGAAACAGCTGCAAAGAATTTGTGCCCATAGTTTATCTCCCACAATTAGAAATTAGATTAAACAAAGAAAGCGAAAATACAGTGGCTTAAATACCATAGCAATTTATTCTCAAATAGTGGAAGCGAATGTAGCAATGTGAAAATGAACTGTCTGGCTAGCCAGTGTTACTTTGTCATTCAGGGCCAGGTTCAGTCCACCTAACCTCTCTCTACCATCTCCTATAGTGTTGAGTGTTGAGCCTGTCCTCATCATTGCTCTTCTGTCTGGAGGAAAGGAGGAACAGATAAGTTGAAGGAAAAATATTGTCTCTTTAAGAAAGTGATATAGTCATTGTCTTTATGACTTCTGAGTACATTCCGTTGGCAAGGATTCAGTCATAAGGCCACAAAAACAACCAGCAAAATCAACTTCAAAATTGAATCTCTGTCTAAAAGACAGGTTGCTTTGCTGAAATCTCAATACTATGGGAAAAAATTGTTTTCTGGGGAAAGGCAGGATACTGCCACATAGCTAGTAACTGAACCTGAGCTTCTAAGACCTGGAACTTTCTCAATAAAAGATCAGAGAGATGAATAGCCAGTGGAGGTGAGTGGCATTCTAGAAACCAAGTGATGAGAAATGCATTAAGAGGAAATGGTTGTGTCAGAGCCACTGGTAGGTTAAGCAATAGTAAGACTAAGAACTGGAAATAGGCCATAGTGATAGGAAGTTGGTGGGTGACTTTGAGTGGTTTGGGCTGGATGGTGGGAGCACAAATCTCATTAAATATATTCTCTACAATCTAGTCCATGATTATTCTTTGCTTTACCGTGTTTCTAATTATTTTCCCAACATGCATTACTGATGATGCAAATGTATGTTGTCTTTTCCCAGAACAGCTAGGGGGATAGGGCTTTGAGACTTTGAACTTTGAGAAGAGAGATGGACAGAGCTTAACAATATGATGGGAAGCCAAGGTTTCAGTAGATGACTGAGAAGAGATGTTTTGACAACAGATGATGCTTCATGAACCTGAGCATCAGTTATAGCAAATGCCTACTTTGCAGCAAGTCACTGTTCTTGGCTTCACTTACCCTCCATTTTGCTGAGTACAAGATTATTGCAACAAGTTCTTTGGAAGAATGAAGGAGGGGGGAAAAGCAGTGTAGAGACAGGAAAAGAAGAAACACAGAAGGTGGTATAGTGCTTGAAGTGATGAACAAGTGAGACAAAGACAGGGATTTGGAACAGGAACTGAGGGACAAAAAGAAAGATTAAACACACACACACAGTCTCTACTCAAAGACACCTCAAAACCATTTAGGAAGGTACTCAGCCTCCTGTAGCTAGTTGTTATTTAATCTACCAGTTAAAGGAAAGAAGGCTAGAGGATTTGGGTTCTTTTGAGTTACAACTGAGAGTGAGATGGGCCCTTTGGAGAAAGAGCTGATTACTCGGTTAGGACAGGAATACCACAAGAGGAGTCTGGAGTGTCTCGTAGTTCCAGAAAGTAAGGAGGAGCTCAGAAAACAAGAGGGTTGGGTGTATCAAAAGGCAGCAAGAGTAAAACTGAAAGTGCTCCCAGTGGCCAAAGATGGAACCATTTGAACAAGAAAGTAAATAACAGAGGACTACATTGTACCCCAAAGTATAAAGCAGAAAAATGTTAAGTACATGCTGATATAAACAAACAAATCTCCCTTATAAAAAAATCCTTGACATTGGGGAGGGTATGTGCTATGGTGACTGCTGTGAAATGTGTAAGCCTGATGATTCACAGACCTGTACCCCTGGGGCAAATGATACATTATATGTTAATAAAAATAATTTTTTAAAATCCTAAATAATATATTTAGCCTTCTCTTAGGAGGTGGAGTATAGTCCCTTTTACCATGAGTATGGCCTGAACTTAGTGACTGATTTCTAAAATACACAGCACAGTGGGAAAAGGTAGCATTACACTGAAGCACCTGGCAAATGTATCTGGTTTAGGTGATTAAGGTTAAGATCCCCAGTGATGAGTCATTGTGGTAATATGTGTCTCCTGATCAGATGTGATAAGGTTTAATAATAAACCTTTGCGTAGTCATGACCAACAAAATCAGACAAATCTAAATTGAAATACCTTCTACCTGAGCAGTAACCCTCAAAGCTATTAAGATAGTGAAAATCCAGGAAAGCCTGAGACACTGTCACAGATCAGAGAAGACTAAGGAGACAGGACAATATATACAGGGTTGGATCCTGGACTGGACCCTATAAGAGCAAAATGACATAAGTCAAAAATAATAATCTGAATGAGTTCTTGAAGTTTAGAGACCAGTAGTGTATCAATGCTGGTTTCTTTGTTTTGACTAGTGTATTATGATAAAGTAAGATGTTAACACTAGGGGAAGCTGGGTGAGAGGTATGCAGGACTTGTCTATAATATCTCAGAAAATATTTTGAAAATCTGAAATTATTTTCAAAATTAAAGATACATTACCTGGTGCTCACCAGCCCCTCCAACCTCAAGAGAGTTCAGCAGCTCCCTAGTTCTTTGTGGGAGGTATAGTTTGGCTCTCTCATATGCTAATTACTCCTTTAAAAGGAATTTTTTTTTCTTCCCTGAGCCCAGGCATCCAGGGCTGGTGTGGGTTCAGGTTCTACTGAGGGATAGACCTGCTGTGGCATCAGGATCTTGCTCCCTTTGGTGCTCTCAGCAGGGAGGAGGATTGTGAACTCTTGTACTCACCAGACCTCTGACCAAGAGTTCAGGTAGCTTCCCTGCTTTGGCAGGGCACTAAAGCTAGAACTTTTATATTCTAGTTGCTCTTGTAAACCAAGTCTATTTTTTATGCCCCAGGGCTAGTAAATCTGCTCCTGGTCCTCCCCAACACTCCACTGCAGTTCTAAGCATTGTGGGTGAAGGCTCCCTTATTTCCCATATGTCTAATAATTCCACTACTAGTTATTACCCAAATAAATGAAAACACTAATTATAAAATATGCTAATTACACTAATGCTAATTATGCAAATAACATTAATTAGAATATATGCACCCCTATGTTAACTGCAGCATTATTTATAATAGCCAAGATATGGAAGTACCCCAAGTGTCCATCTGTAGAAGAATGGATGAAGAAGGTGTTGTACATACATACAATGGAGTATTACTCCTCCATAAGAAAAGATGAGATCTTGCCACTTGTGACAACACAGGGTACTATGTTAAGTGAAATAAGTTGGAGAAAGACAAATACCATATGATTTCTCTTATATGTGAAATCTAAAGAACAAAACAAATCATCAACAAACAAAAGCTGAATCAGACATATACATACAAAGAACAATTGATGCTTGCCAGAGGGAAGAGGCTTTGGGAGATGGGCAAATGGTTGAAGGGGAGTGGGAGACACAGGCTTCCAGTTACGGAATGAATAAGTCATGAGAATAAAAGGTACAGTATGGAGAATGTAGGCAATGGTATTGTAATAGCATGGCATGCTGCTGGATGGGAGCTACACTTGTGAGCATGGCATAACATACAGTGGTTGAATCACTAATGTTGTACACCTAAAACTAATGTGACAATGAATATCAACTATGCTTAAATGAAATAAAGCAAAATAAAAAAAATTATTTCAAATAACAGTTAAGAAATGGTTCCAGAAGAGAAACCACCATTTTCACAGACTTTAGGGCCAGATACTTGTGTGATACCACTCTATCCCCACTAACACCAGCATGACCCTCTCAGGACATTCAAGCACAGTTTTGCAAGTCTTCAGAAGTTAAGTACTTCTAATTTTATAAAGATAGGAAAAGAACACATGGATAAAAATTCCTTTGGGTACCTTTATAATAAAATTGAGCTCAACTGAACATCAAATAAAATGCAGAGTTATTAGCACATTGAGGTAGTTTACATTTAATGTGGTAAAACATTATCTTACATTGCTTGTTATCTTGCTTACATTTTCAGTGGGTATTTGAAATAACTGGACATAGATGAATAATCATTATTTATTAAAGAATTTTATAAATTGAATCAGGAAATCTGTAGTCCCATTTTTGGCTGTTAATGATGTACTAAACAGAATTATTTCATGTATTATTTTTCATCTAATGAGACATTCCTAATAGAAAAGAATTAAGATAGTTTGATATGATCCACTTGATAGTGTAATTTCCAAAAATTAATTTGTCCCAAAGTGGGAAATTCAGATACCAAATGAAAGAATATAGAAGAAAAACAACCATGTCTCATGAAATGTTCTAGAATTCTTTTGTAAAGAATATTATAATGGATAATTGGTATATTTATCAGTGTTCAAGTATATTTGCTGCTGGACTCAAACAATTAGTTTATTCATTAACTAGTGTTTGTTGAGGAATTAGTACAAACCAGACCATAATTTAGTTATTGGGGATACAGTTGTTAGTAAAGTAGACAAAGCCACTCTTTTTGTGCAGTGTATATTCTAGGTAGATAGGTAAATGAATAAACAAACTAACAAATAAATAGAGTTGAGGAGTAATCAGGACTATAAAGAGTAAAGCAAGCTGGGAACAGTGTCCATGGGGGGT